GAAACAAACTTTAACTTTGTCATTCCACTTATTTTTTAAAATTCTAATTTGTAACTTAGAAACTCTAAATTTTATCTGAGCCGCGCCAATTTAAATGCTGACGCGCGGAAATCACCCAACTCAAATTAAAGAGCCATGAATTAAGAATGGGCACCCTTCACAGATATGCATCAATAAGTTGTAGATTAGAGTAGTGGAGGATTCGATTGAACAAGCTCGCAAAAATTGGTTCTGCTAAATTGTGTATAAGGCAAACGAAAAACTGTCGGATCAGTTGCCCGGTAACCAAGTGGGTAGTATGCTGGCCTTCTATCTATGAGATCTCGGGTTCGATCCCAAGTTGGGTCGATGAATTCGCATCACAGCTGAAACACAATCAGGTCGAAACAGTTGTACAGTGCTACCTAGACTTCCACTTCACGCTGTATCTGCTCTGTACACGGCGAAATCTACTATAAAATTGTAAATTGTGAGTGGGCTGTTGTGATTATTTCTGCCATAGATTTTAGTAATACACATGATATAGAGTAGAGAATATGAAGAGGACGTCCTTTAAATGTGGTATACGTTTCATGGTCTATTCACACCACCTCAGATGAAACTTTCATGACTCGGTGTGAATAAAAATGATGGAACCAATCATACTTCAGTAATCAGCACCAAGTCGTTCAGTGTTCGTTCACCTCGGTCAGGTCACGATTGTGCATTCACTTTCCTTCGAAAATCGATCGTGTTGGAACCAACACTTAAATCTGATGAAGTCGCGTTCTCAGTGCAACAAATATGAAACAGATAAATAGCGCAATAGTTCCAAATTATTAGTGGGCATTTTAGTGGGGCAGGGCAACGCTCAGAGCTCCTAAAATGTTGACTATAGTCGAATCAAATTGATCTTCACCGATGGTGGTGGGCAGTCTATTCGTCGGTTTACGGCGTGTTCATACGCACCAGTTTGTCCAACTTGTCAATGGATCCTGTGTTTGAAAGGAAACGAGGAAGAATAAAAAGTGAACGAAGATTTATTGCTTGTAACCAAAGTGTAAATTTGGTCATTTCGAGGCCGATTCAACCTGCGCCCCCGTGAATGTGGATAACGGTGATCGGGGTGGGGTGGGGAGTGTGACGATTAGGACATGCGCAATCATTTTCAGTGAATTGAAATAAAAGCCGGACAAAATGTGTTTCGCGATGATATGATTTTATAAATCCAGCGGGTATGAGACGCGCCGGGTGGTACAAATCGATAGGGGAAGGGTCCAGGTGATGACACCGCTTTTGTCGGGACTGATGTGATTGTTCGCAACTCAGATTGGAGCTGTTCGAATTAAACCTGTGTGTATTCCCCATAGGTAATAGAATAGAAACATAGTCATGATAGGCCGATGGTGTGAAAGATAAACAAGTTGTTTTTGTCAAATGGCAAAGTTAATGCGAGAGCACTTTTTGACTCCAGGTGTTTGTTGACAAAACGGTGTCGTTTAACACCCTGATTGGTCCAAATGAATAGTGTATTTTGTTTCCTAGATTTAGTCGAAAGATTCGTTGATGGGGAGATGGTTTAAGTTATCTCCCGTTTTATGTTGTTCTCAATTTCTCTGTTCTTTGTATTATGCCATGTAGTGATTTTTTTTCAGTGCAATCTATGACAGCAGACTGTGATTCCTTAGTTTTACTGTTGTGTTTGAATCGCGGTCAGTCAGCTATCGTTAAACTAAACTATAGTCACAGATTACCGTCTGGTTGTCATAGTAGTCTTGCATCACTCGCAACCTACCTAACCGAGTCTCCTATCCAGGGTTTTCTTACCTATCTGCATTCTACACTTGAACCACGTAGAAAAATTTGGATCATTTCTACCCGACAGATATACTAAGATCCAAGAATTTATGTTACACAATATGAACTGGATGAGTCCTTTACTAAAGGGTAGACTGCTGTTCGGCGATACTGGACATGAGTGCATGAAATTTCTGTGGATAGAGTCACAGCAAGCAGCCAATCACCAACGGTCACCTAACAGATCCTGGCGAACCACCGTGTAATGCGAGAAAAGCACGCAGAGTAAGTGGAAGCGTCATACGTAGCCTAAATGTCCCTATAGGTTGGTCGCGTCGATAGTGAACTTTGTAAAGGCTTTAATAACGAAGTTATTTAGGGAAGATCGTTTTTGCCGATAATTTCCACGCGCCTTATACGTTGATTATTATATTTATATATCAATATAATGATGATAGCATTATAGCCATGC